TATTGTGTGATTACACATCTTTACTATTTTAGATATTAGTGGTTAAGTATACTAGCATTTCCAGCAGAAATCTTTCCGAATGGGCATGCTCTTGTTCCATCGCTATAACATAGAAGTCTACACTTTGCACAGATGAGGTTTCCCCAGAATATGCAACCCTCAAAGCCCCAGGTATGTCCAGGCTGGATCTCACCACAATTGTGGTGAAGTCATCGACTTTGGACTGAGTCCCACACTATCTATATTCCAGATCTGTAGTAAATTCCATGAGGGGGAAGGAACACAGTCTGAAATCCAGAATCTCGTCTGCTCGTTCACACATCCATCATGTCCTCCCCCACAAACATATTTGCAAATAGAAACTCTAAAAAGAAACGAAATCATCGTTTTGCTTTTTTGATTAAATTTGTTTTAAGTGGTACGGCATACAAACGGAGGCGAAACTCTCACCCAAAGGCACGGTAAACATTGTAGGGAAATTAATCTCAGAATCGAAGGAACTTTCAACACATCATCAAAAATCCCTGCACAGATTCCTCCAAACTTTCATTGTTTAAGAAACAAACGGTCGATACAGGCTACAGCAATCACTCATGTTTGATTGATTATGTGTCTTTGAGGGTGAAAAAGTACAAATGGCTGAAAGAAAAAAAACAACAACACTGAGGACTACTGACCTGCTTCAGCAGGCAGCACTGTTTGCCCCCCAGCCCCCACCGCCCACCTCCTTTGAGAGCAAAATCCCGTGGCACAAATACCCTCTTTAACATTTTCTTCTGGTGTCTTGTGGATCCATTGCACTGACAAGTTACCCAATCATGGATTGAGCAAGAGCATTTAACAAGACAGGGTAACACTGGCTCCCCCGAGTGTTACTGTTGCCCAAAGGTGCCTCTTTTTTTCCCAGCATATCATGGGGGTAAAAATGTTAAGGTTACGTATATTGCCCTTGCCCCCCTCCCCCTCGAGTCAGAGCTTCAAGCGTGTCCATCCCCCAGTTGATGCGTATAGCGCTCATTATGCATGCATATACCCATCCCCTCCCTGCCACCTGCCCCGACACCCGGTAAATGTTATTCCCATGTGTCCATTTAGGTGTTGATCAGTTAATACCCATTTGCTGGTGCATGGGTGGGTGCCAAGGGTGAGTTGCAGTCGGTAGATCATTGTCAGTAAATTATTTGGGGTCACTTTCCAAAATGGAAGAAGATTCAATACATCCCACCAAAGTAGAGAAAGCATCTTTCTGAAGAAGGAAGGAAAACGTGATGCATTGAATACCTGCTTTATGACACTTTGCTAACCATACGCATATGCTTTCCCGATGTAAATGTCATTTTCCCAATCCTTTATATGAGGAAACTGAGGCTCATAGGAGATACATTACTTGCTTAAGCTCCCCCAGATAGTAAGGAATGAGCAGAGCTGGCTGAGAACTCAGGACTGTTTGACTCTAAGACCTTTGCCCCACATGAGAATGGATGGAAAATCAATTTCATCTCATGCGTCCATTCCCATAGACTGCTGGTAGCTGCCCAGAGCACTCTGTTGAGATGGTTTCTGAGGGTGGGTCTGATCTTTGAAGAAATGCTGCTCATGATTGATTAGTAACTTCTGCCCTGGGTTATTTGCTATAACACGATTTCAATCTGAAATGAGCCAAGCCCACCTGTTTGTGATCCAAATTTATATTAGCAAGAGTTACATATGCTTATTGATAACGAGGGACATCAGTTGTTATTGACACCCAACATCCGTTTGCCTGTTGTTTCCAAGGAGGAAAAGAATACCTTGAATATCCTCCCGGAACAGGCGAGTGACTCAAGCCAAGGAAATCCAAGCATCTCACTCTGTTGCCATGGTGCTTACTCCAGGGATGGGTACCTTATTTTGAAAGCCAAGGAGACCCAGCCCTGTGGTCTTCTTTGGAAGATAGATGCAAGCACCCTCCTGCCCTCAGCCACACACACAGCTGGAGTTGCTGGACGCCAATTTGCCCCTATGCACAACCTATAGCAAAGCTAATGTTGAGAATATAGCAAGTAAGAGGTAGAGACCAGGCAGTCCTGCTCTGCCTTACTCAGATGGAGGAAGAGAGTTTCATGAATACAAAACTTGACATTCTTTCTGACCTAGAACTCTGCTGGGTGGGTAATAAGCTATAAACATTTTTCTCAGCAATGTAAGTTTTTTCTTTTTTTCTCCTGTTGAAGGAGGTAAATTGTGCAGGATGGGAAAGTAGAGAGATGTTATCTTTTGCTGGAAGTTAGAATTTCCTGGGAAGGTAGCCATGGGGTTTTACCTTGAACAGAGCCTGGAGAAAATTGCTGTGATAAGCATCTCACTTCTGCACACTTTTCGTGTTCTATGAGGCAAATTTCCCATTTGCCTGATCAAAAACAAACACACAGAAAAACCATCTGTAACAATACAGATGCGAGGGCCCAACCTGGCAGGCTGATTCTTTAGGTCAAAGTTGGGCCCTGGAACGATGGCACTTTGTATAAGTGCCAGGTGTGATTCACGGGGTCAGGCAGGTCTGGGTGTTTGGACTCTGCTGACCCCAAGCAGAATGTCAGGTGGGCAGGCCAGGGTGTGACTCAGACCCACACAGCACCCACGTGTGGAAACGTGGCCAGAATCAAAGCAAAATCTGCCTCCTCTCCCCTGCCCCCCCCCAAAGTCAAACAGATAAAGAATTCTTTATTCCAGACTATTGCAATAGCCCTGCTCCTCTAAAGGAAGGGGCTGCAGAGTTTTTAAAAGCAGAGGGAAGTGGGAGGAACCTCAGGCCATTTGTGTTTGTTAACACAAAGGAAAAGGAAAAGTGAATTTTCTTCTGTCTTCAGGACTGCAGGGAGTTTTACAGCTTGAGGCTCCCACTCAAGCTAGACTCCTTCCCTCCCACAGGGGCTAATCTTCCTAGAGGATCACATTGCAGAAGTTTGGCTCCAGGTCCTTGAGAAAGATGGCCCTACTCTGTCAAACTGAAAAGGAGCTTTTAAAAAGATTTACATCTGAAAGGAGCAGGGAAAGACGTTACAGTGACAAGCTTTCTAAAGTAAATGCTCAGGGAAAAGGGAGGGCAGGGCCTCTGTGGTTAGGATCTGGGGGGGGGGGGCGCTGGCTGCAGTTCGCTCCAGCCCAGAGGGACACAACAGCCCTCTTGGTCCTTAGGTCACTAGGCGCCCTAACTTCCTGCTCACCATTTAGAGATGTTAACACCACCATAGTCATTGTGGGGATCAGAGCAAAGTGATTCATCCACAAGGCATGTATTGAGCACCTGCTGTGTGCCATGCATTTCTGAGGAGCTAGGGGCAGAAGAGAGGACCCTCTGCCAGGTGCTTCTCACGTACTTAGGGGGCAGCCGTGGGTAGACAAACGGGGGCCTCACTCACACCCCAGGGGAGGCGGTCACAGGGAAGGGCTCAGTCCAGCAAGAGTGGGCACCCGGGGGACCCAAACCAGGGCAGGGAAAGGGTCCCTGGGACGGTAGCCCCACCTTGCGGACGGGGTCAGAGGCTGAGTCAGAGTCAGCCAGGTGCGGGGGGAGGGGGAGAAGCCTCAGGCAGGAGGGAGACCACTTTATGATCCAGTTTCCTTTCCTTTTAGAAAAACAAAGTATATAACATTTCAAACTCCATAAATTTTCAATACCAATTTAAAAATGTGTTTCCAGTTCCAGGATGACACACTTTTCAATGTCAAAAATCCATTTCAAAATAATTGGAAAATGCGAGGTGAGCCCGGCGTGTTAGGTAGCATCAAATGTAAGGAAAGGCTCAGAAAACAAAAGGGTTGTGCATGTGTCAAAGAGACTCAGTGGAGACAGCCTGCAGGGGCTCCCTCCCAAGGTCTGAAGCTGGAACAATTTGAGCAACAAAATATAAATAAATATCCGTGGGTCCCTACCGATGTAAATAACTGATTGAATAAATAAATACAGGAGGTGAAAAGACAAATATCTTTTCAGAAAGAATGGCAAATAATTTATGTAGATACTCTCCCCTCTCTAGGAGGTGGGGTTTTAATAATTCTCACCCCTCTCTCTTCTGCAGGAGGGCTGGACTTAGTGATTTGCCTCCAAAGAATAGATTTGGAAAAGTGTAAAAAATAATGTTAAGATAAATAAGTATGGCAAAGGCTACTTTGGCCAAGTGACCAAGATTCACATCAACAGCGACAGAACAGAATTGCTGGTAAGATTGGTGTAGAGGTTCTTTGCAGCCTTTCCAAATCAATTAGTCTTCCAGTTAACTTTGAACAAATGTTTAAAGAAAGTCACTTTGGTGAGGGTGCATGTCTCTCCTTCCAGAACCATCCATGTGCCTCGAGTGACGGGCATTATTATGCCCATGTAATAATGTACGAGGACCCGGGGGTTCGGAATGAGAAAATGTTTTACTGTAAGCCTCATACCTGGTGGGCCAAGGCCAACGTTCTAAGACCCCAGGGCTCCTGTCTCTGCATTGCCCAGACTTTTGAGCTCATGTACTCTGTGCTCTGTGCTGGGTTGCAGGGGGGTTGGGAGGTGGGGACTTTCATTCAATGAATGAATCAATGAAATGGGAGCATCTGATAGTGCAACCCAGGCCTCCTCCTCAAACTAGGGCACCGAAACACCCTGCCCTGCTTGCTCCTGACCAATGCTTTCTTGGGATATCCTGAAGTTCATTTGCTCAGGTGACTTTACTGAAAAAGAACAAATATCTCTTGGGAATACAGGGATACATCAGCCATTTACATCTTTCTTTTTAAAAAATGTCAAAATATTAAGGGGGTCCAAATGTTTTTTGGGTGACGTGAATCACTTTTGTAATGCTTGAGTCCTAGCTATAGGTGTGCCCATCACCCAAATAGTGTTCACAGTACCCATTAGGTAGGTTTTTGCCCCTCCCCTCCTGCCTCCTTCCCCCGCCCGGTTGATTTCCACTGAGTTTTACTTCTCTCTGCACACAGGTGTGCTCATCGGTTAGTTCCAATTTAATAGTGATTACCTGTGGTGTTTGTTTTTCCATTCTTGAGTGCAGCCATTTGCATCTTGACTTAGGTAGTTGGATCGGCTAATGATGAGAGACTGGCTGAGAGAACATGGATGTTTCTGGGTTGGGGAAGGTAGAGGTGACGGTCAGGTAATTCCAGCATCTGGAGCTTAGTGGCAGGTGGGCATTGATAGATGAGGAGCAACACCTCTTCAAGCCATCCTGCACAAAGGCTGCTGGGTTCATCTTACGAGGTGAAAAAAGCAAGTAAGGTTATCTGACCACAGGAGTGAGAGGCAGGGCCCAGCTGGAGTCTGGTCTCAAGTCTGGCTGGGCTGAGACCACACCCTGGAGCATCACACCTGGTTGCCCCGGCAACAGGCATCTTGTGGTTCCAATGGTCATAATGTTATACTGAGGAAGATGAATATTCATAAGTAACAATGAGTAGGGGGCACAGCAGCACGTGGTTTGTGAGCTCCTTTAGAGGGACTGATGGGGAGGGAGTTTCAGAGAAGCCTTCAGAGGTGATGAAAACGAAAAGTTCCCGAGACCAGGGAGGGTGAACCAGGTGTGACTCCACACTCCTCCCCGTCCTGCCCGGGCGTCTGTGTGAGTAGAAGCCTTTGGCTCCAAGCCATGACACTTGGGGAGGGCACTTGAATTATGGAAGCCAAACCTTTCTTGATGGGTACTAAATAATATAATGGAAAAGTTTTTAATTATACCATTGATTGCCTCGTCATTTAATTGTTTGGCTTCCTAATGGAGCCAGTGTAGGATTTTATTGCCTGCACTTCTATATTAGATAATAAAGGGAGAGGAGCCTTTAATGACCACATTAGATTAAGTTAAAACAGATTGATTTTTCCATATATATTAGTTTCTGTTAATGAAAGACAGAATGTCTACACTCAACAGGTGATTACCTTTCCACAGCTGGGCTTCAGGAGCTGATAATCTGCTTAAATGGATTTGGTAGGGCTGAGCAAACTGTAGTCTGAAGAGAGAAGCAGTGAGAAAGGATCACACCCCAGCCCTGGCTTATTGATTCTTGGGCCTCAGCCCCACCTGGTCCCTCTCTGGCGTGCGGTTTCAGGAGCTGATAAGTTCTCTCTTTGGTCTGAGCCTTTTGTGTTCGGGTTTCTGTCACGTGCAGCCATAGAAGCCCTGACCTCCACCTACAGCTTCACAGAAGAGACATCCCTTGAACTGGCCCTCAAAGGATGATGAAAGCATGGCTGGGAAGAGAAGGGAAACCTCATTCCAGACAGGAGGAAGGACAGGTGCAAAGAGACCTGTGGTCCCGTGAGAACCTGGCATTGACGGGAAGAACAAGGGTGTGGCCTTGGCAGAACCTCATTGGGAAGGGAGAGCTGAGAGCCCGTGAGCAGGGACTCGGGAATCAGGAAGGGAATGGGAATTGTGTGTATTTTTTAAAAGTGGGCACTATTTCAAAAGTGCAAGTTTTTAAAAATAAGGCCAGACTATCTGAAAGAATTTGGGAGGCAATGAAAGATGGACCTTTTGGGGGATTGTTTGATTTTTTACAATTTTGCATTTGCTCATTGCAGAACAGCCAGGGTGACAGGGAGGGGACCCTGGGTGTGGGATGTCCTCATGCCTCCGGAGTGCAGGAAGGTTAGCCTGGATGGGAGCTATTTGATTTTCATCAGGGCTGAGTTAAGAAACGTGAAGCCAACCTGTAATGATATAATTGTTATAACTGTTTTTATTTTGTTCCTAATCAAACTTTCTAATCAAATATGGTCATCACCCACTTTTTATAAAGTGCTGCTGTGTTTGCCAGCTTTTTCTTGAAAGCAACTTATTTTAAAATTACTGTAAGTTTAGGCAACCTACATTGCGAGTGTAAAACCATCAATTGCTTCCCACCTCTAATAGGAGCTATAGATTAGTGGATTTCAAGACAGTAGCATTATTCCTACTTCCTAATGGCCACCAATGCAAACCGAAAACATCAGAGTAAAGATAGAAACCTCACATCTTAGGATGGTTTGCTCAACAGAAGTAACAAGACCTGGGATACCCAGAAAATTGTAGGTAGAGTTCAGGTTAGTTCCTGTACATGTATGATCAATAATTACTGGCTGGGCACGGTGGCTCACGCCTGTAATCCTAGCACTCTGGGAGGCCGAGGCGGGCGGGTCGCTCAAGGTCAGGAGTTCAAAACCAGCCTGAGCAAGAGTGAGACCCCGTCTCTACTATAAATAGAAAGAAATTAATTGGCCAACTATATATATAGAAACATATATATATATATATAAATATATATAGAAAAAATTAGCCGGGTATGGTTTTGCATGCCTGTAGTCCCAGCTACTCAGGAGGCTGAGGCAGTAGTATCGCTTAAGCCCAGGAGTTTGAAGTTGCTGTGAGCTAGGCTGACGCCACGGCACTCACTCTAGCCTGGGCAACAGAGTGAGACTCTGTCTCAAGAAAAAAAAATATTTAGTTACTGCTACAGTGTTTAATTGCCTCAAACAGTAATAGCAGTTCTAGTGAGTTTTTGATTAAGCTAGTTTTTCCAAGATTTTTTTCATTTTCTCTCCTGCTGTTTGTTCTACACTAATGGTTAGAAAAATATTTATTTTTTTTCTGTATGAATAAGCATGACATTGGAATTTCATTCGTTTTTACCTTCAGTATTGTCTACTGGCTTTTGCTGAAATATTGTTTTGTCTACATATAATTTGTCTACATTCTCAGGGTGGTAATTCATTCAAAATTTTTGTGTTTTTTTTTTTTTGTTGTTGTTGTTGTTTGTTTGTTTCTGTTTCTTGATTTACTCTACCTGCAAGTACAGAAAGGGAATTCAAGTTAATGCCATTTATTTTATATTTCACCTTGCTTTTTAGTTAACAGTATTCTATGAATTACTGTCCTGGCATTTGTTTCCAAAATGATATACATAAGGGACACTCAATGTACTAACATTTGTGGTGTTTCTTCTGTTGTGTTTCAGTATTCACTGATGCTGATATATTTCTTTTACCTGTGTGATTTTACAATTTCTCAGCACTGGTTGGCTATTATTTCCAATCCAGAACTGTTTCCTTATATATAATATACAGCATGTTGTATTTGCCTGAGCAATATTATATATTTTCCCTACAAAATCATTTTAAAATTATTTCCCAGGCACGTATGATATAAAGTAGTTATATTTTCTATCATAAATATTTTCTTAAAAATGGGTGTGTGTTTCATATTCTATTATGTCTTACAGACTAGGAAATAAATTACTTCTGGATTGTTCTGTGGGGGGGTACTAATTAAGTAAAAGGAAACTGGCATTTGCTAAGCACGTTTTTTGTAAACACTTTCAGTTAACGCTCAGGTAAGATTGCCAGATAAAATATAGGATACCTAGTCAAATTTGAATTTCAGATAAGGGATACTTATTCTAGTATATAACAAATATTGTGTGACATGTATTTATACTGAAATTATCTGTTGTTCATCCGAAATTCAAAATAAAGTGAGTGTCCTGTTTTTTTTATTTGCTGCATCTAGCAACCTCATCCTCAAACAACCCTGTCTGACCCCCACCTGCATGCCTTTCTCTCACCCACCCCACAGACATTTCCCCCAGTATCCAAAGAAGAGATTTCTTTGGGAGAGTGTGGAAAACTTGAAATAGCTTCCAAAATAGAGATGATGAAGCTTCAAATTTAAAATTAGGTTATGGTTAGCTTTTCTTATGTCTGAAAACACAGCAAATGAAGGCTGTCTTTGCTTTATGTTGTATCGTGTTATCAATTTATAAATTGGAACCATAGACTGTCCATGCTGGAAGCAATCTTGGTGGTCATTTTGCCCAACAGCTTTGTTTTACAGATGAAGATCCTGCTAACAGCAGGGTCTAGGCTGCTAGTGAGGTGTCTTGGCCATCTCTGATAAGGTTTATTTGTACCACTCTGGTGTTTTCCAAGATGTGCAATAGGTAAGATGTGCAAGAAAATCTGTAGGTGACCCATGGACAAGAGAAAGCTCCACAGGCTGAGGCCAAGCAGGGCGTTGGGCCAAGGGGAGGATGGGGTGGGAAGAACTCACTGATGGACAACCTGTATATTGTTTTTCTGGCTCCCAGACCCTTGGGAAAAAATTTCCACACTCTCCGTCCATTCTCCTATTGTTCCGGAGGCTAGAGGAAGAGGAGATCTCCGAGGACATGCCTCTCTTTAATACCTGCTTTCTTTCCTTTGGAAAGAAACCCAAAGACCAAATTATGTCTCACACACCCCCTTCCGCCTTTGGGAATTAATTCTGATACATCTGCCTCTTTTTCACATTAACAGAAAATGCCACTTTCTCCCTTCCTAATCTCCAATGCAAACCTAACATTTTTGGCTTTACCTTTCTCATGCTTGCACAATCCAGCTTTTAAATTCCGTTCAATTCTAATTTAAGAGTAAGGCATTGTGTGAAACACGTATAGCCCAGGATCTGTAAGCAAATAGGATGCCGCGGACTAGGAAAGCTAACATTTAAAGAGACGGGAGAATGTTTTTTTTTTGTAATGTGGGTAACGATCACTGTTACTTATTAATTCTCCAAATGCAAGATTCTATGAGTCTTCTTATAGTTAGATCCAACTAGGGAGTTATTCCCGATATTGCAGATAAGCTCACTCTGGGCTAAAATGACAGCTATAATGTAAGAGTAATTGCAATTCAATATCCCATTTCCAGAATGGGATACAGGATAAAGCCCTGAGGGGTTTCTGAATTGATTTAATGATTTTTTTGAAAAATAAACTAAAACCAAGGAGAACGTTGGTAACCCAGAGTATGAGCTACGCATTTGTGAAAATATTTTGAGATCTCAAACTAGTTTCCTAGCACATTCCCTGCTGATGTTATTATTAGAAGTATCTCTTCTCATTGATCTTAATAGAGGGCTACAGTCTCTGAGGACATGTGGACCTGATTATCAACATTTTTGTTATAAACCTCTACTCTCTTTTAAAAGAAAGAGAGCTGTGGATATAGAAAGGCTTTCTAATTAGGCATTTATTTTAATCTGTTGAATCAAAACCCAATACCCCAAGGTATTCAGGGTAGAAACAATAGGCATCATAAAGAAGCAGAAATGTTATTGGTTTCTCTTTCCAGAGCAGATTTTCACAGAAATTTTAATCTATTAAAATTATTTCAAATCTTCTTTTCTAGCTATTTTGAAGTATGCAATAAATTACATATTGTTTGCATGTATCAAAATATCACATGTACCTTATAAATATGTACAATTATTATGTATCCATAACAATTTTTAAAACTTATAAAAGCAAAACAAATAAAACAAAAATATGTGATGCCTGTCACTGCTGCCCGGTTTCAGGAGCAGTCACCAAGCTTCTGTAAAGAGCACGTTTCATATGTCTCTTTCAAATTTTCTCTTGAATCTTCATTAAAAGTTAATGAAAATATCTGACTTGTTTTAATGTACCCAAATTTTTACTCAAATGCAGTCTAAAGACAGTGGCAAGGAAGGGAATGGGAATTGTGTATATTTTTAAAAAGTAGACACTGAATATTTCAAAAGTGCAAGTTTTTAAAAATTAAGGCCAAAATATCTGAAAGAATTTGGGAGGAAATCAAAGATTGACCTTTTCAGAGATTGATTTTTACATTTTTGCATTTGTTTATTGCAGGACAGTCAGGGTGAGAGGGAGGGGACTCTGGGTGTGGGATGTCTGTCCCCCCAGAGCACATGAAGGTCCAACCAGGGGCCATGTATCCATGCCATACCCAGGAGAAAGCACTTGGGTCTTGTCTTCAGAATCCAAAGCAAAGGAATGCTGTCTAGGCTACTTGGAATTATTGCAGCCTCAGTGACATTGAGAAAGATTTGATCACTCCTTAAAAAACAAAACAAAACAAAAAAAACCCAGCATAACCAAAAATAGATAACTCACTCTTGAAGCAAAGTGTTTTCGGAAAGAAGGTTTAAGTTTCCCTTACCTGTTTGGCACCAGGTTCAGTGTTAGGAATTCAGAAGATGCAAATGGATTCAAAGTAGCCTTCTTTACTATGATGGGTAAACACAGAAAAGTGGAGAATTGGCACCATTTTGGTGGCTGATCATGAAGCAAATGGTCTTGTGGTTCTACTAATTGACTTTTCACTCTGTCCTCAGATGCCAACACTGTTTTATCATGTCACATTCCTCCTGACACTTCTCCTTCCCTTGGAGGGACCATTCCATTAGTTACGCATCAACTATCAGAAACTCGTGCAGCGCTGGAGTTGAAGACCAAGTCACTTGTGCCAGATGAAGACAAAGTGCTTATTTTCCTTCAGGAATAGAAGAAAACGATTCTGAGAAACAGTAGGAAGCTCAGAAAATTAAATCCAGTATCTCAACCAGGGAGGGACATGAAACTTGTAATGCAAGGCTGAGAAACACCTGAATCTTAATTAAGTACCATCATCCGAAATCTACTATCCTGTAGAAAATACTTAAATGACATGTATGTAAAAATATATGCTTTGTTTTATTTTAGAGAAAAAAAATTTAGCTTTACCTAAAAATTTCAAAACATACTGTGGAGAGTTCCCATATATTTCTCCTCTTGACTGTGACAATTTCTTGGACTTTCTTTGTTCTTGACAACCTTTATGGCTTTGAGGACCAATGATGATGCATTTTGTAGAATGCCTCTTGATTGTTTTTATTTTTCTGATTTATTTGCATAATGAGATTAGGGTTGTGCCTTTTTGGGAGGAAGACCACAGAGGGGAAGTGCCTTTCTGATCACATCCTGTGAAGGGTGGGTAGCATCACCATGACCTGTCACTGCTGATGTGAACCTTGATCTTCTGGCTGAGGGAGGTGGTGTCTACTATTCACAGGGAGTGCTGGATTAGCTGTCAAGATCAATTCTCCACTTTCTGCATCCTGCTTGTGCCCAGGGAGTCTGACAGGCATGGAACCCACCATGGGCTTCCTTGCCTTCCTGTTCCCTGTTTGGTTTGGCCCAAGAGAGACATCTCCAGGAGACTGGCAAGTGGGAAGATTGAGGCTGGGTATTGATTTTCCTGTTTCCTTCCTTTCAGGGCACTAGAGATACTGCATGTTCCCCTACCACAGGGCACGGCTTCTGCCTAATGGCTCCATCCATGTAGCTACCCTTTCCTGGGTCTATAAACCACCACCTCCCTTTCCCCTTGAAGCACAGGAGATACATAATCTCTCCACTCTCACTAGCCTCTGCTCTGCTGTATTTATTGGATCCTGTTAAATACTTCTGCTTTTAAAATAATCTCTTTATTTAACTGTCTTCAAAGTACCAGTTCAAGTGTGCATTTGTTTCCTCCTGAAACCCTAACTGATAATACCTTTTTAAAAAAAGCTTCTTTCGTACCCCATGAGTTTCTACACTATGGGATTAGCCCAAGTCTCTGATCAGCACAGCCCCCAGTCCCTGCAGGAGGACAGGCTTGGCTCACAGCAGTTCTGGGACATTTGCACGGAGACCCCAGATACTCCCCTGCTTGTGTTTTTCTTACATTCCAAAGTGTCCTTTTGTTTGATTTTCATTTGTTATATAATCTCAGGCAGCCCAACTTCCTTCCAGTGCCCAAACCAATATATCTTCCTCCAAGTACGATTCCAAACTCTATTTCTAGCCAAGCTCTAATTGTGCATAGCTGTTGGCAAGTCCTCAGTGGTTGCTGGCCAGAAACATCATTTTCTTTCAACATGAGATTCTTCACTGGGCAGCTTAGCACATGGCGGCATGTTTGTTTTTTTTTTTTTTTCTCAGAGCAAGTGAGTGAGAGAGCAGCTCCTCTCTCACCAAGTCTTGGGATCACTGCATCCCTGAGAAACAACTCAATTGCAGCCTTGTGGAAGATCTCGAAACATAGACAACCAATTAAGCTGTCCCATATAAATAATGTGATAATAAATGGTTGTTTTTTAGGCCATTATTTGAGCTATTTTTTATGAAACAATAAAAAAATCAATATTTTAGTACCTGGAAGTGAGGTGCTTCCATAAAAAAAAGCACAAGAATATGAAAGCTGCTTGGAACCAATTAGTGGGTGGAGCTTGGGAGGGTTTTGAAGAGCGTGTTAGAGAAAGCTTAGGTTGCCTCGCATAGACTGTGGGAGACATCTGTTTTTGGGCTCTGAGAGTTCAGAAGTAAGTGAGAAACATGAAATTAGGAAGTAGAACAGGAGGATTTTTATGATGCAGTGGCAGAAACCTAGCAAAGGTGCTGTTTATGGTACAGTGTGTGAGGAAAGAAACAAAAATGAGGGAAGAGCCATTGAGAGAAAGAGAGAAAGCCAGAACTCAATGATTTTTAAAATTCTCAGGCTCTTCTGATTGCAAACAATGCTAAAATGAAGAAATAGTTCCCAACAAAAGAAGGGAAATACAGAGCGCTACCAGGAAAATGTTAGCTTAAGATGAAACTGAGGGTTTGATTGTAAGAACGTTTGTTCAGATGTTAGCAAGTTCAAAGGTGGTGCATTAGAGAATTATTCAGTCATACAAAAGGGCTTTTAGGAAGATTTAGAGTTTTCCTATCAAACAACAGGGACTCTAGGAGATTGTGAGATTATATCTTATATAAAAGATGGTCATGATCGTGGGTCTTACTTAAAGTATTTAATGGAGTGAACACCAGTGTGATTCACAGGAGGTCCACAAAGAGTTTGAGAGAATTGTATTAGCAGAAATGCTGCCATCTTGGCATTGAAGGAATGCAGACAACATAAAATGAAATACAGCACATGTATCCTCAAGATTCTACAGGTAGAAAGCAAGATGAGACAACAACTCAGCTGCAAATACATGCTTTCTTTCATAATTCCTCCACTCAGAAGGTGGAGCTGAGAGCTATGTAGAGTTATTCCTGGCCCTTGGGCTCTAATCAAGAAACATCCAGTATATATCTGGGTGTAGTTCAGAGTTGTTATGGAACAGTGGCTCATTTAAGGATCTAATTTTCCTTCCTTTTAAACAAGAATGTCGACAGTAATTATTCTATACCTCTTTAAGTTTTATATCCTGGGTGCATGGGGCTGGGAGCAGGTAAGATATTTTCAGTTTCAAAAGCCTATAAATTGCACACAAATATAATAGCTGTGTTTAAGGAATTATATCTGGAGAACCACATAGCCTCATATGACTTAGTCAGATGAGATTTTGGACTGTGAGTTCATATAATGCTGTGATGAGATGAGACTTTGGGGCAACTTAAGAAGCAATACACAACAAAGTGTCTAAGATCTTAGCACCATATGAAATAAAGTATTTAACATCTGTCATGTCAACCGAAAAATTTAAGCATTTGCAAATGTGTTTTTTGTGTGTTGTATTTCCTTTCTGGGGAGTGAGTAATAAAGTTCCAGGCATGCTGGAAAGTTACCCTGCCATTTTGGTTGCATTTAACATAATTACTGGCTTTAAGAATGTTAATCCGCCTGCCCTATTTCCTACCATCTCTTTTGCACCACTGGACCTCCCAGAAACACCACATCTGACAGCTCAGGATTACCACTGTCCTAAAATACTGACACACATCTTGAATTGTTTTCACTAATTAAAATTCTCATCCAGTAAGAATTATTTAACCTGGGCTGCAGTAATTACAAAGTGAATCTTTCTTCATTATATAACCAGAGGGTTTGCTATTATAAAAACTATGATTTCATGAAAGGTGCTTGATGTATTTGAGTGAATAAACCTTAAGATCAATTAATTAATGGCTGCTTGTAATAAGAGAACATTTCCTATGTTCACTGAAGTCAGCATGATCTTCCTGGAATCTCTCTGTCACATACCTGTACGAAGTTTTTGAAGATAACATTTCCTTAGTAGAGCTCTTATATTTGAACAGCAACTTACGACTTTTCGGTGAGCTTTCACGTATCCTTTCGAATTTGATCTTCAAAACAGCCACGTGAGAAAAACCACAGCAAGTGACGTCATCATTGCCTTCCAGTGGGTGCGATCTATCCCAGGAATGTAGAAGGAACAGTGGAGGTGTGGCCATCGCTGCCCAGTTCCTGCAGACTTTCCACCTTGGCCAGAAGGTGAAGTTGTTTCTTCATATCCCTAAATCTACAAAAGTATCTAAACTCCTCACCGCTCTGGTCCTGGTGCTTTTCTCTGGCTGAGGTTCCTGGGTGGGGGACATTGACAGACAGCAGGACTGCAGAGGGCGGCAGAGGGGACCCCACTCAAGGCAAGTTCAGCACTGAGTTGCTTATAGGCTGCAGCCCAGTTAGGGCTGCTTCTCCCACCCATGGAGCCCTCCCAGCCCCTCATCTCTGTCCCTTCTACTCAGCCTCTCCTCTTCCTTCCAGCCCCATGTCCCTCCAGACCTCCTATTTTCCAGTCTTTGGGATCAAAAAAGCCTCTCCCCCAGCAGGGGTCTGGAATTTTCTGTCTCAAATTAATGTTTTTGTTTTTGTTTTTTTGAATCCTTATCTTATTTCCTCTGCTATGTGTGTTGTGGTAAGAAAAGATACCCTGTAGTTTACGTAGAAGGAACGGAACAAAAAGGAGGGAGGGCCAAGTGGCCCAGATCCCTCAGCCAGGAATAATGGGCCATATTTCTCGCTGATCTTTCGAGGCTAGAAATATTTTACCTGCCTTAAAAAGAAAAATTCTCCAGCCCTTTGGGCTGCGAAAATAATCGCCCCTTACACTTCAGGAAAGCACAGGCAACCCACGGCTATTTTAAGACCTGTCTTTTCTTGATCTTGTCAGTAGTAGTCAAACATAGTGGAGAGCTGGGGGATTAGGATAATTTATTTTAAAAAAATAATTCTCTGCTTTCTTCTAGAACTGTAAGAATATTTATTTTACGGTTAACCTTTTTGGTTGGAAACATTTCTCTGCTGCATTCCACCTCCTGCAGTCAAGTAGAATTACTTTTTCTTCCATCTCAACTCTCCAGTCCCTTTCTTGAAGAACCCTTTGTTTTTAAGGATTGTTAACTGCTGGTGTGGCCTTACAGGTTTGTTGTTCTCTCTCTGTCTCTGTCTCTGTCTCTGTCTCTGTCTCTGTCTCTCTCTCTCTCTCTCTCTCTCTCTCTCACACACGTATTATATACCCTGTTCCATCTAATTCCAGACATTCAAAGATGCCAACCAGAGCGCGCCTTCCGCTCCCCCGCCCCCCCGCAGTGACCCAGGGCTGCAGGGCACAGGAGCGAAGGCAGGAGGCCGACAGAGTAGAGTTTTGGGGTCCCAGGAGGGCATTCCCGAGGGTCCCGCAGGGCAGGAGCCGCCGTGCTCCATCTAGTCCAGCCTTGCTCGCTCTGGGGGAAGAGGGATTCTCGCCGGCGCTGCGGTGCTGGCGCGCGCCCGCGCACCTTCTCCACCTGCGCCTGGGGTGGGGCGCGGAGCAGGGCACAGGTGCGCTCGCTGGGCGCGGTTTGGGGCTGGGCGAGGCGGGTGGCCGCGGGGACTGGAGAAAAGTTGTCCGAGTGGAAGCAGCCGCCAGAGCCGGAGTCGCTGCGGCCAGGACCCTGCCAGGGGCAGGTCGCAACCGTGGGAGACGCGGCCGACCTGGCTGCCAGGGGTCGCCCGGGGGCAGGGGCGGCCACCCGGTCGGCTTGAACTGCGGGAACACAGGATGCGCCCCAGGGGCGCGGTCCCGGGCGGAGAGGGGCGCAGAGCCTGGATCTGGGCGCGCAAAGGTAAGGCAGGAGTGCGCGTCTTCCCCGCGGGACGCTGGGGCGGAGGGAGCTTAAACTTGAGGTTTGTTGGAGAGGACGCTGGTGCCGCCAGGAGAGCCTCCTGGGGCGCGGAGCCGCCCTCCCCTGGAAGGGCGGACCCTGCTGGCAGCCCTGTGGGAGACGGGAGCAAATCTGGCCATTCCAAACTCTTCAGCTCCCCTGCCTGGCCCCACCTGCAGTACCTGGAATCGGGTTAGACGCTGTTCCAGAAGTGAGGAGGGAGAGTGGCTGAAATAAAAAAATGTTTATTGTCTCCCATTCTAAACTGAGAAACATTGTGTGGCACTTAAGATCTAAGAAGAGGAGTCCGGTTTTGTGCACCCCCTTTCTCCAAAGCATAGAGTCGCATCCCGCCCCGCATTCCTACCTTCACTTTGTCAAACTGGGGACTGGGGTGCCAAGGCGGAGCGTGGCTCTCTGTGCCTCTTCCCTCCCACCGCAGGGGCCCAGAATACTTCGTCTGTACCCTCAGAGGAACACGCTCAGCTCAAGACGCAGCTGACCGCAGACCCCACCTTGGCGGAGATCCGTGACTCCCCTGGACGCGCCAAATTCAGTCCCACGTGATTTGGAGGCTGCAGGTGGGAGCTGTGGCTCAGAGGCGGAGGTGTCTTTGGGCGGTGTGAGAGTCTCTTCAACCTACCTGGGCTTCCCTGGGGTCTCATCCACTCCCCACGGGGGCTGCAGGCCTCTTGCGGAGGAGGGAAGTGAATGCGCACGGCGGGCGGGCACACAGCACCGCACCAGGGGCATTCGCTGCGAGACCAGCTGGCGTAACGACTGTTGCCATTGGTCATTTGCTATGTGCAGTTGGGATCAGGGTGGAAGTGCAGCCCAGGTGGAGTGGGTCTCAGAGGCCTGGGAAAAGCTGCCACCAGGAGCCCTTCCCACAGGGCACAGGTGCGCTGGCCCTGGGGCAGGCAAGAGTGAGACCTAAGCTCCCAGCTGGGCCAGGAAGGTGGCAGCACCTACAGCAACTGCAGGGGTCCTGGGGTGTGGGGTCCAGGGGGAGAAAAAGCTAGAATGTCTTTCTTGCTGCCCACATAAGGGTGAGGGGTCTGCAGGGCCCGGTGGGTCTCTGCCCCCATTGGGGGAGCATTCGTTCTCACCTCCTGCTGCCTCTTGCTGCCCAGCTCGGGTCAGGCTCCAGCCCCCTGGGCCTGCTGGTCATTGGCAGCCAAATCCACCCTGGTGGGGACCCTTTGTTCTTTTCTTTCATCCTCCTCCTGCCTGAAAGCACATCGGTGGAGACAGGCTGCCAACTGATGTCGAAAAGCTGCATTCGCTTTTCAGAAGTCATGAAACACAGCCTGAAATTTCAGAGATATCCACCGTCTTTGAGACTGCAGTTTCCCTGACAGCTCAATAGACTCGGTTCTGCACAAATTTTGCTCTCTATTGTTTTAAAATAGTGTGCTTTTCCCCGCAAACACTCAAAAAAGTATATAGTGCCTGGTCCTTTCAAATGCTCCAGGTAGGCAGGGTGGGTAGGTGGTGGTAACGGTATCTTTCTTTGGTGTCATTTGAAAACATGGATGTGCCTAGACTGAACATGCGTGAATCTCTGTCCTCAGTTGATTTTATTTTCTCTGGAATTCTTCCCCCACCCGTCTAGGCTTTAGAAACAGGATGCATTATGTGTGTGCAACTGTGTGTGTTCGTGTATGTGTGTGTGAGTGCATGCATGCATGTGTGCATTTGTATGTAGGTTTATGTTTTTCATTTTTTTTTAAAGGTGCCCAAACTCGAGTTCATTTAGAAAAGACACAGTGATCTGCCACAACACTGGAGGAAAAAAATGGCTTTGCTGATGTTAATAACTAGTAGATTGTTGTCCATTTTAGGGGTGAGTTAAGATACTCTTCAGGAATAATTTTGGCTCCATACTTGCAGACTTTAGGAATTGAGCCTCACATCACATGAGGAGAATGGGCTTAAAAAAGCTGTTTACACAAACCTGAGTCTGTAGAGTCTGAGTAGTTTAACCACTGTTGAACAGGCCCCTCCATACACATCTTACTATAAAAACTAAGTTGTCAAGGTCAGGTGAAAAATAAACCTTCTAAGATCTGCCACTTAGTCACTCTACAACTGGCCAACATTCAATGCTTGAAAGTATCCTTATTTTGGGAAAATTTTTTTCTTCCTAACTACCCTAAATTTGTCTCCCACTGTCTATGCAAATATGTGTTCTTATTCCAGGAGACTACTGGATCTCTTGTACATTGTTGCTGGGAATGTAAAATTGAATGGCCACTCTAGAAAAGAGTTTGACAGTTTCTTAAAAATTTAAACACGATTACCATGCAGAGCAGCAATTGCATTTCTGGACGTTTGTTACAGAGAAATGAAAACTTATATCCAACACAAAAACTCTATACAGGAATGCTCATACAAGCTTTATTTGTAATAGCCCCAAACTGAAAACAACTTCAGTGTCCTTCAGTAGGTGAATGGTTAAACTCCATGGAATATTACTCAGCAACAAAAAAGGAAAGGGCTACTGATCACACAGCAACTCAGATGGATCTCCAGGGCATTAGTTGAGCTGACAAAAGCCACTCCCCAAATGTCACACATGGTATTGTTCCTTGTGTATACAATGTCTTGTAATGACAGCTGGTAACAGACTCTACACATGACAAAATGGCATGCAGCTATGCACACTCATTGTGCCAAAGCCAGTTTCCTGGTTTTGATACTATGCCATAGCTACATAAGCTGTAACCACATGGGGTAGCAGGAAGAGGAGCACACAGGGACCTCTCTTCACTATTTGTGCAACTTCCTGCAAATATATAATTATCCCAAAATAAAAAGTTAAAAAGAAAAAAACATACCTTGTCACTCACACACTCCTAATGGACTCCTCTGGCCTTCTGTGACTCCACTCAAGCGGTCCCTTCTCTGGGAATTCCTCGCTCTCTTACCGATCTCCCCTCTTGATCTAGACTTCTGTCATTGATGGTTTGCCTCAAGGTGTGTCATTAGTTCCCAACTGGATCTGTCTTCTCCACCAGCCCAAGGGCTTCCTGTGGTCAGGGGCCATGTCCTGTTCATTTTCATGTCTCAGCCTGATGCAGCCAGGGCTCCATCGCGTATAGGGAATGGGGGACTGGGCATTTAACCATTGATAGCTGAGATAAGTCTCTCTTGTTGAGAACTGGTCCTCTATCTGGGGGATATCATAGCCTGGGTGCTCGAGGTTAGCGTGCTGATGGGTTTTTTTTGTGTGTTTTCCTTTCCTGAGTTCCCTTTCACTGAGTTTATTCCACAGACTTTTCTCATCTGAGGTCAGAAGCAACACCTGGGTAAGCTAAAACCCATAACTGGGTGCTGTGGGGCATGAAGGAGGTGC